ACAGTACGTCATAACCTTTTGGGCAGAGAACTCAATAAGCAACCAACATGACAAAGAGTTAACTGGAGCATTTGAAACTCCTCTTGGCATTGGTTATTTTCATTTGGGAAGATGTGTTCATTGACATCACATTTTCTGAAGTACATCTTAATAGGGAAGTCAGATAGGGAAACTGAATAATGCAGCCGCATCTGTTCATTGCACATGCAAAATGCTGGCTCATACGCTGATTATACGCACCTCTCGCCAAAGAATCTGTATTTATGAGCCTCCTCAGGAAAGATGGCTTGCCTTTCAGGCAAAAGCCTGTTTGTGGTTTTACTTATCAGAGTACGGGGAAAGCAACAGAGCGTCAATTATACTGCAGCTGGGCTCTCTGAGGTGCGTGAGGATGGAGAGAAGGAAAACAAGCATTCTGTTCCACATGAAATGAATGCACGCTCCTCCCAAGCAAAGCTGACTGTCCTCAGTGTTCACCTTGGTAATGTGGCCGCAAAGATTGTGCAAGCTTGGATTGCAGCCATGCATGTTTAGTGGGGCAAGGCAAGAAGCCAAGCTGCCCAGTGCAGTGCCTGCTCCCCCACAGAGCTGGGATTAGATGGAAGTTGGATGGATGGGAAATAAAGAGACAAGCAAGAATACAGAAGTCGATCCCAAAAGTTGCCATACTTCATTCTTCTCCTGGAATCCCAATGATATGCACTGATGTGTCCACCAGGTCCCAACCCAGCCTGCACGTAACAACTGCCTCAGGAGCTTTAAAAACCTGCCACGTCTCAGCCTCACCCCTGGAGACTTTCTCCTTCTTGGTCTGGGCAAGGCCTGGGTTGAGACTTAAAATCTTTCCCAGTGATTCTAACACGTGCTAACTTGAGAACCGGGCGTCTAAACACATGGGCCACCCTTTCAGTTCCTTCCAGAGCGCAAAGATCTCTCCTGCCTCTGGGCCACTTAACACCTCCTCCTCCTCTCCCAGATTCTTCACACGCCTCCAGTCCCAATTTAGGTGTTACTGCATCAGAGAAAATCTAACAAGGATTACCCCACCCTACACAAGCTTCTATTAGTTCCCCTGCTATACGTGCTCTTAACATCTTTTAATTCTCCTGGTAAAATTATTTGTGGCTATGCCACGTGGAGCCATGAACAAAATGAGAAATCAGTACTGCCAATCCTGTCCTTTATATAACATTTTGATGTTTTATTCATCACAGATTTTTGCATTAATTTGGATTTTTTCAAAAACAGTGCATTAAAATATTACTTATCTTGATAACTGAGTTTTCTGAGCCCCTCCTTAAATTGTGCACCCAAGGCAAGTGCCTCACTCATTCTAGTCCTGGTGATTTATGGAGCCATTTATCTAATGCCTGTCGCCCCTGCTGGACATGAAGCCCTGTGAAGTCAAGGAGCATTTCCAGCTGTTTGAGGCTTTATTCTAAGTGCTCAGCCCACTGTGGCAGAGTTGCCATCTCACAAATACGTGTGCAGTAACCAGTGACAGTTATCTTTTTACAGGTATGTCTCGTCTTTCGGATTAAATCATAAGGTCCAGATACTGTCTCTGTTCAAGATAGATAGTGTTCACTGCTTACTCATTCTGTTCAAAAACAAAGCCAGGTTGGGGTAGGGTCGGCTTCCTTTCCCACCCTGGTCTCTTCCTACCCACTAGCCTCTTCTCATCCTGGCTTAGCATGTGCCTCAGTCAGTTGATTAAAAAACCCTTGTGTTCCTTGGCCAGATTTTTACTTTTCACATAGGTCTATCACCAAAAGGATGTCCTAGAGGCTCAGAGCTGTCTCACGCTAAATGAGTTGGGAGCGACCCTAAGAGTCATCTAGATCAGTGCTTCTCAAACTGTACTGTGCACAGGACCTTGTCCAATGCCATTTCTGACTCAGGAAGTCTGCCACGGGGCCTAAGATCCTGCACTTACAGCAAGCTCCCAGGAGATGTGCCACTGCTCACGTCCCCACGGCTGATCCCCAGGCCACAGGGTGTAGCATGAATGTAGGTCAGTGCTTCCCATCCTTCTCTGATGATATACATCACCTGGGCACTAATGAAAATACCACTTCCCAGGACACTCCCTTGGAGATTCTAATTCAGTGGCTCCAGGACCCAGAGATTTTTATTCTTCACAAGTACCCGGGGTAATTGTTACCTCATCAGAAAATTTGGGACAGCAGTGACCTAGTCCCAAACTTTCCTCTCAAGAGAACATCACACCTGTGGCTGAGCACTTCCAGTGAAGGGAGGTTCCTGCACTTCCAGGGAAGCAATCTGCCTGGCCATAACTTCCCCTCCTTAGTTTCTTCCCTGGAAGCCACAGAGACCAAATTCATGCCTCAAATAGCAGAAGAAAGTGTGTTCGAGACTGTGAGTTCCTTGAGGACAGAAGCTGTACTGTGTTCTCGGGTTTTGTTTCTATGGTTGTTTTAAGTTCCTCACTTTTAAGATGTTTTACAAAAGCATAAAAGTAACATGCGAAACAATGAAAAGAGATGTAAAGAGAAGGCTAATCGTCTCCCCGAAACCCCACTCCAGTGAACTACAGTAGAGAAGTAGTAACTGCCTGTTACTTATTCCTTCACATTTCTAGAGAACTTACACACACTCAGGGCTTTGTCTGTCTGTTGTTTCCACCAAAATAGAATCAGTTAATAGATTTCTCTGCAACTTCCTTTTATGTTTTATTTTTTAGTTTAATGATATATCATTAGTATCCCTATAAGTCAGGAGATACGGATCTTTTTTCTAACTTCTATATAAGTAAAATTATCCATGTAGGTAGAGTTAGTACAATCTTTTTCCTCCAATTCTTAATTAATAAGTGGGATTGTAACTGAAATTTTTCTAGTCATATACCCAAACATATATACATATATATATATATATATATACATATATATATATATATATATACATTCTCATATGGATAGATGTTACTGTTTTGCAAAAGTGTAATTATATTACAGGTTTTCTTTGAACAAATTGTTTTTCTTATTCAACAGTACCTCCTGAAATCTTTCTGGGTCGATCCTTAACAGCTTTCATTATTTTTGATGACTGCATAATAATATTCTACATTATGGTGGTATGGTGGTATCTTTTTTTTTTTTTTTTGAGAGGGCATCTCTCATATTTATTGATCAAATGGTTGTTAACAACAATAAAATTCTGTATAGGGGACTCAATGCACAATCATTAATCCACCCCAAGCCTAATTCTCATCAGTCTCCAATCTTCTGAAGCATAACGAACAAGTTCTTACATGGTGAACAAGTTCTTTCATAGTGAATAAGTTCTTATATGGTGAACAGTACAAGGGCAGTCATCACAGAAACTTTCGGTTTTGATCACACATTATGAACTATAAACAATCAGGTCAAGTATGATTGATTATTCGTTTGATTTTTATACTTGATTTATATGTGAATCTATGGTGGTATCTTGATCCAGTTAGTCTCATACTGAAGTGCCTTCAATTTGTTTTCAACCTTTTGCCCCTCAAAAAAATTATATTTAACATTTATTTTAATGTATGTAACTATGCATATATCCTATATATACCCATTTATGGAAAATATTTTTAGCAGTGGAATTGCTGTATCATATGACTTTTTTAAATGTATTAGATGTTGAGGGGGGTTCTCTTGTCCCCTCCTGACCTGAGCCAGGAGCTCTGTCCTCTCACTTCATTTCTAAATAAAAGCCTCTGCCTTGCTCTCCTAAAAAAAATTAAATTAAATGTATTAGATGTTGCTATATTGCTTTCCTAAAACACTACAACTTGTAGTCCCACCAACAGTTTATGAGTACCTATTCTCCTCTCTCCATCTCATTCCAGCAGAAATATTTACTGCTTATTTTACTTTTTGCTAGTCTGATGGGTTTAAATGACGACCTCCTTGTTACTTACTACTGAGCTTGAGAATCTTTCCTTATGTGTATTGGATTTGCTTTACTGTGGATTAATTGTTCAAATTCCAATTAATTGTTCAATTCAGTTACAACTGCTCAAATTCTAACTTTCCACTAGAATGCTTGTCTTTTCTGGTCAGTTTGTAAGAACTACATATTTTATGAAACACATTAACTCTTTATTTTCAGCTTTTTTTTTTTTAGTAACAATATATTTTATTGTTTGACCAACTCTCTTCAGAGTAAGCTAGTTATTACACAATATAAAAACAATAGCCTCCTATTCAAAATTAATTACTCTAGATATATTTAGCAAGTCTTATTTTTGTAAATAAATACCACCTTTAAATGCATTTTATATCTATTTTCACACTTTATCCTTTTCTACTAAGGCGACAATTCAACGACAGCTTCCATATAGTTTTGTCACTGTACATGAAAAACTGGTCAAACTGCAAATAAGCATCACAACTTGAATATACAGAAAATAGATGGCCAATTCTGAGGAGACCAGAATTTCTTCTGGACATGTAGTCTCATTTTTAAAAATATTATTTCACCATTATATTTTTCCATATGTTTCTACACCCACCTGTTCTTGGAAATTATGGGCAATAAATGCATAGAAGGCAGGAATAAGAAACCAGAGATTTTTTTTTTGAAGGACTGCATTTCCTAGGAATAAGATGGATGGCTTCCACTGTTACTTTGGTCATCAAAGGAATAGGAAAAATAATAAGGGTCCAAGCAATTGACCTCACTTGACACTAGTAACATCAGAATGAAGGATTTAAATGTAGGTTCAAATTTTTTAAAATGGCATCTTCATAGATAATCCTATTTCTAGAATTCTCATGTATTTGCCTGTGGTTTTTATAATTAACTATAATAAAGAGTTCAATAGAAAATTAATTAAACTAGAAACTGAATAAACAGGTATTTTAAAAATTAAACCCCACTTTTTATTTAAAGTCTTAAGTTTCCTTTGTTTTCAGAACTTTTATCTCATATTTTTCTAACTTTAATTTAAAAAGAATTAACTGCTTTCCTTTCCCTTCATGGAAAATAGAAACATTTACTATGCTGAAATACTTTATTATCAGTTGAAATGAAACTAGCAATTCAACTTAAGCTATGTGAACTGAATAGTATTTCAATTAAGAGCATTTTAAAAGAAATTCCTCTACTAAACACTGAAATAAGTTGTAACAATTTTTTTGAGAATTCTACCATTTTCAAATGTGGCAGAAATACCATCTAGCTGAAGTGTATATACTGAAATATCAAGATAAGCCTTGAAGCTTTTATGGACCATAAATGTGGCAAATGTAAGTGAATACCTGTAAGATTATGATTGCACTCCAATTCTCAAATGTCTAAATGAAAAGGAAAAACAGACAGCAATGTGTCTAATGGTATGTTCTAATACATATGATTCTGACCAGATTTTTAAGGGTAAAAAAGAAAAATTTTGTTAGCACTGTCAAATTTATATTCAATAAATACAATGTATAAATGTTAAATTAGCCAACACCTTATTAGGGATGACGAAACAAGCCAGACAAAACTAAAAAACACAAAAAGGCAAAACCCAAGTTAAAACATAAGGTGACTGTTCTCAATCAGTGTTGGTTATGTTGCCCCCTTACAAAATGACAGGCAAAATCATACTTGTTTTTACATTTGCATCCACACGTTACACTGAAGAGGGTTTTCATACGCATGACATCCCATATGAATAGTGTAAAGGATGTTGTCGGTGAAGTACATGTCACAGTGCTGGCAGTGGTGCAGACGCTGCGGGTCCTGGACTGGCAGGGTGGGGACGGGTGTGCTTGGCTGGCTGTTTCCTATGCTAGGAGTACTCGTGTGGGCACTCAGTTCACTGCTCGGACCCGCCACGGGGCTGCAGTTCCTCTGAGTGTGCGATGGCCGAGGCTCGGGGCTCGTGGGAGAGGAGCTCTGAGGCATACCTTTAATTGGCACCATTTTATGCTTGCGCCTTCGATGATGAGGCAGATTACTCCGATCACTGCAGCAGAAGGAACATAGTTCACATTTGTATGGTTTTTCTCCTGTATGGGAGCGCATGTGGGCTTCCAGATGACGTTCACAAGCAGATGCAAATGGACATAAGTGACATCTATGAGGTTTCTCACCTGTGTGGATTCTAATGTGTTCAATAAGCCGGGCTGTTCCTTTGCTCGCATAGTTGCAGTACCGGCACTTGAGCTTCCCATCAAAGGTCCTTTCAAACCCGTCTACTAACATTCCTGAGTTTTCATCCAGGGAAACTTCAACAGATGGGTGGTCAAGTCCATTTTGCCCACCATCTGTTCCAGCTCCCTGAAGAGCCTCTGCTTCTTTGTCCCCACTAACTGAGCCGTAAATCATGTTCACATGATGGGTCTGCCGAGTCAGATACTCCTGGAAATCTTTCACGAAGTCCAAAGGCTCTGGTTTCTTTTCCCCCATTTTTTTCTTTTTTCTTTTTCTTTTTTTGGATATTTACAGTTCGTTATACCACCTGACCACCGCACCAAGTAACCCCCACCTCCTTCAATGCCGCTGCCGTCACCGCTGCTGTCTTCGTCACCGTTGCAGCCGCCGCCGCCACCGCCAACGCCATGTTTGTTGTCTATTTTCAGCTTTTTTTGCCAATATTTTTCCAAATCTATTCCTCTACTGATTTTAATGACAGTGTTCTTTGCTGTATGGTAGTTTAAAATTTTTGAGGTTAAAAAAATCTGACATTTATTGTAACATATGGGTTTCTTAATTTGGTTACAGACTTCCTCACCTTTGAATTGCAAATTGTATAAAATGAAAATTTACGTCTGAAATTTTATTTTTCTACCTTCAAGGCTTTCATCAACCTGAAATTTGTTTGTATTTGGTGTGAGATAGAATACCAACTTTATTTTCTTCTCTATAGATAAAAGTGGGTCTAACACTACTTATTAAATAAATTAATGTTTCTATGCTGAACTGAGAGCAATGCGTTTGTCTCCCTAAGAAAGCTTCCACTTTTACGGTGAGGGCCGGGACTAGAGCAAACAAAGCATCTACATCACCAAATCCAGGGAGGCAAGATTTTGCAAGTGCTTGCCCCTCACTTGTGCCACACACTGGGGGTGAGGTGCCTAGGATACCAGTTGACATTTGCATGACTTTGTGCCCTCTGCACCTCACTTGTCCCTCCATAGTCCAACTGTTTATATTAATTTCTTCTTTGTATTTTCTTTTGCTTAATTTCATTCTTTCCAGAGAACTTGCTGCAAATAAAAACAAGTACTTTTATTTTTATTCTTCTTTAATAACTGTGTGTATGTTTATACATTTCCTTTGAGCACAGATTTATAGAAAGCATTTCCTTCTTCAATGCTTTCTAGATAGTTTACAGTTTCAGCTCTATTTTCTTATTTGCTCCAAAAGTTACCCAGGAAGTATTCCTTAACTTTTAAATAGGCTATTCTGAACACCTTTAAATTATTTCTTCCTAATTAAATATGGCTACAAAAATATCTCATTTCTAAAATTGGTAAGGCTTCCTTTATGATCAAGCACATAATTAATTTTATAATGGTCCATTGGGTATATATTGAATTCTTTTTACTTGAGGAATATAAGATGATACTATTTTTATTAAATTATGTCCACTGTATTAATTCTACTATTATTTTTTGTATATTATATCTGATTCTGAAAAAATGTTTTGAAATTTATAATATTTTTGTCAAGTTGTCTTTGCATTTACATTGTTTGGTACACATAGGTTTACTAATGTTAATTCTGCATAGATGCTTTATATTATTACATAATATCCCTCTTACAGTGCCTTCAACTTTAAATTTCTCCTTGACTGCTATTATGTTGTTCCTATTTTCTTTTTCACTATATTTGCTTGAAATCTTTGTCCATTCCTTTATTTTCAACTTTTTTTGTTAAAATTTTGTTTCTGATGTTTTCTTCTAGATAGTATATAGCTGGCTTATTTATGTTTTTAGCTCAATCTGCCTCTGACTTTTAATGGGAAAATCTAGTCCATTGACATTTTGTGTAATGATTAGGCTCCTCCTCTATTCTATTATTTCCTCCTCTTGTATTTATTTTTGCAGATTGATCAAATTGATATTATTTCCCCTTTCCAACTTAATATCATCTCTTGTGGATCTGCATTCTATTTCCAGCTACTTTCCCTTTCCTTTTTTTCATAATCAGATTTCTATTTCTTTACTGTTATATGAATACCAGACATATGTTTCTTACACCAAAATACTCAATTCTTCCAAAGCTTCCACTCCAAACCTGAGAATACTTTCACTTCCCCCACCAGTCCCTCAGCCACTCCCCAGATGAGACCTTTGGAACACTTTCCTCCTTTCCACCCACCTCCGATGCCCAGACTTGTTGAGATTCTCTCATTATTTTTAGTTCGACTGTTTTTAGAAGAATTGTCAAGGCAGATGGCAATGTGATCAATCCAAAAAACAATAGATTTTTATAAGGTGGAGAACCCAGACACACTCAACAGAGGAACAAGCTTCTCTGGGTTTCTGAGTATTCAGGTTTGCTCAGTAAGTAAAAGCAATGGTAACATATTATTGGGTTATTTTGCAATACTGAGTGAGCTGAAGGTTTGGGAGGTATGCTTAGGTCAATTTCCATACAATCCTCTTTTCTTAGCATTTTTCCATATTGTAGCTTCCAGTGCTGTAGATAAGAAGTCCAATGCTAGGATGATTCTTTCACCTTTAGGAGTAACTTGATCTTCTCTGCGGAAATTTGTAAGATAGCTCAGAGATATAATATGCTTAGGCATCTTTGTATCAATCCTTCCCAGAACTCTGTGAGATGCAAGTCTCTTTTCAACTAAGTTAACATTTGCTGATATCAACAACTGCCTCCTCTATCACTTCCCCAACCCCTTTTCAATTTCTATCCATCTCCTGTTATATCTCATTGTATTTTTGCTCTGTGCTTTGAAGTGTATCTTTCTCTTATCTTCCAAGACACTAATTCAGACACTAACAGTGGTAATTTTCTTTCAATCATTTCTTGAAATTTTTGCATCAGAATCTTTTTTGATCTCAGAAAATTCATTTATGTGTGTGTGTGTGTGTGTGTGTATGTGCTGCACTTAAACCTCCTGACGTTTTCTTATTCTTTTGCTTTGTTACCCATGCCAGCAGCTATTTATGTACTGAGGGTTCTCCTTGTAATTCTCCCTGGCAGCTGGACCCCATTAGGAAGCTTCTTTATTTTTGTTTGCTCCCTGTGGCTCCCTCCCATGTACTGGGTTCCATAAGTGGCAGCATTCCCAAAGCAGTAGAAGGAACAGTAGTCTCAGTCTCCCCTGGCCCAAGTTTAGGAGCAGATGGGTTACCAGTCCTCTGGTGACGCACTAGGTAGAAGCCTTCCCTAATCTTTTCACCTTCCCAACTCAGGGGTAAAGTCAACTCATCCCAGCATTCAGCTCCTCAGGAACCAGAGAGAGCAGGTACACTTCCCCTTACCCCTTCCTCCCTGTTACAGTCCTGTCAGGAGTCTGCCAGAGCCTGAAGCCTCACCCACCTTCCCAGACTTGTCTGTGTCTTGGAGGCTCCAGCAGCTGCTTTTCTCGGGAAAGGCAGGTGGGTTAAATTGCAAGTAGAAAAGAGGCAAGATATGTTAAAGCTGCTATCTTTTCAGAACCCTCCATTCCTCATATGTCAGAACTTCTTCATTCCTTGTTTATTTTTACATTCGAATGCTCAATAAAATATGACAATAAATGCTATCACCCCTAGCTCAACTCTTCTCTAGTGTAGGTTCTATTAATTATAATGCTTTGAGAAGCTAACTGCAAGTGGCTTACAATTTTTTACATTTTCTTTTTAATCTCAAGAAAAGGAAGTCTCGAGGTAAAGTGGGCTTCAGGGATGGTTGGTAATGTTATTAGGTGAAGAGTTTTTCTGTTTCTTTCTCTGCTCTGCCATCCTTGATGCTGGCTTCTTCTCAGGCTGATAACAAGTTGGCTGCTACAATTCCAGGCAGCACACTTCAACATGACAACATCCAGAGAAAGAAATCCCCTCACATTTTACTGGCCAGATTGAGTTACATGCCCATTCTTAAACTTCACAAAGGTAATGGGTTTAACCAAAGACCCATCAGCCCTACATGGCTATTTGAGAAGATACTTAAAATCAGGGAGCACCTGCTCACAAGCTAAATGTTCTCAGTTCAATAAGCAGTTTTTCACATGAAAATAAGAATAGTTGGCATTTGAGTGCTCACCATATGCAAGGTGCCTTACAAACATTCTCATTTAATCCCCATCACAGGCCCCCTGAAGTGTTTAGTATTATTCTCCTCGTTTCACAGATGAGTACCTACAGCTTAACTAACTTTTACAAGGTCACAGTTAATGAACCATCATTTCCCTCCTTATAGATTCTATATGTCTATGAATGCAGCCTTGCATTGCAGTCAGCAACAGAAAACGTTCTTTACATATTAATTCCCTTGTACCCCGTGTGAGAGCTATAATTAGGTACTCAAAGACACTGTCTTTCATATTATGGAGCTTGGTAACTAGCTAGCAGTGCAGGTCATTCACGGCAGACTGCTAACCGTGCTCTCCTGATGCTGTGGCTGTGCAGAGGCGCTTGGCAATGCCTTGAATTTCACTTTCTATTACATAACAAACTCAATCCTCTTACATTATAATACAAACCTCAAGATCTTAATGTGGAACAGCTGAGTCCTACACATTACACTCTTGGCTTGCACATTCACTTTGTGTATTCCCTTAGAAACTAACTAGTATCTGGGAAATCAAACAAGTATTTTATACTCCTGTCTACTCATAAAACTGCACTGGGGGCTCTGCAGTGTGTGTTTTAATTATGTTTTCCCATTGTGAAAGCAATACATGCTCATAGAACAAATGGGGAGAAAGTACATGAAGTTCTACTCCCAACTCTCCTGCTCCCACCCCCAAGAAAATCACTGTTAACTTCGCGGGATGTTCCTACAGACTCTTTCTCCAATGCATTCGTTTTTGTTTGTAACTTTTTTTTCATAAAAATATTCAAATATACATGAAAGTAGAAATAGTATAAGCCAAATGTTCCCATCACCCAACTTCAACAATCAACACTAACAGTGTATAACATATTTGACGTCACAATGTATTTAGTAGTTTTTTAAATTATTTATTATAAAAAGAATGAATTCATAAAAAATTCAAACAATATGGAATAAAAAGTAAAAATTAAAAATCCTCTTCCTTTCTCAAGACCATTAATTCCAGTGCTCAGAAATAGTAGATTTTACTGTATCAATCTAGACATTTCTATACATAAATTATATATTTTTACAAACTAAAAAATTTCACATACAAGAAATCATGCCATACATACTCATTAATACTTGTTTTTTCCACTTAACTATATCTCGGACATCTTTGGAAGTAAATACCTAGAAGTGGCCTGCATTCTTTAATAGCTACAGTGTTTCACTGGAATGCAAATTTAAGCCAGGAATGTGGGCAGGGCATTGGTAGTTGATTTGGAAGATATTTAGATTCTGTCTCTAAAGCCAGAGATTTACCAACTGGGTTGGGTACACACCAAGGTGTGTGCAAAATGACCCGCTGGAATGTGGGAAGAAACTTCCATTCATTTTTATCTCATCCCTTTATGATTTCTGCATTTTTTTAAAAACATACATAGTAGTAGTGCAATAATAACATTGTATGAAGTATAAATAAATATTTCCATATTAGGAGTATATACTCAAGATTTTTAAATATGGGGTACAACAAAGTTGGAGACCACTGTCCCAGGCAGCTGCTTTAATGTGCCACGGAAGGCAAAGCAGCTTGTAGGAGCAAAGGAGTAGGCTCACGGCCTGTCCTCTGAATCTCGTCACCCACTGTCTCTCGATGCCAAGTGTTGTAACACACATGAAAATCCACACCCCAGGGAGAACTCTTTAGGTTAGGAGAACCTGTCCCCAGCCAGGGGACCTACAAAGGCACAAGCCATCTCAGCAGAAACTCCAAAAATGTTTTTGCAGAACCCAGACTGTCTTGGAGAAAAAAGGGCTGAAGAGTTAACTAGCTTGGGAACACCACCTACTAAGACTCTACTAAAGGTCACTTCAGTGTTAGCAGAGCAGAGACTCTAAGGAATATTTTTTTAAAAATCAATAAATGAAGATAAAAGTAAAGAAAACCTGTTTGATTTTAATTCAGCATTTCCATTTGACTCTGGAATCCATAATCCCTCCCCACTTCTTTTTTCTGAACATTTGTTTAAAAACCTATGGAATCACACAAAAACTCTACAGAAAAATGTTGATCAGCAGGTTTGCTGCAGGAAAATACTACCCACTAAATGTTTAACTTCCACTTGCCATCATGAAATAGCAAAATAAAAAAAATCACAGTTGATTTAGCTAAAGAAAACACTTGTCCATACACACAAAGCAGCTAGGCCTCCCCAGTTAATTTCTAATTCTAGCTTCTTTAATCCATTTCCTCTTGTGCCAGGAATCACAATTTGTTGTTTATGCGCTCCAAAGCTAAACTGTGCTTTTCCCACTCGTGCAAAATGTGGTAGATATATTTTACATTCTATAAGTTCAAGGGATTACTAGATTTTGAAAGAAAATTTCTCCCTGGGAGGTGAGGTGAGGCAAGAAGGCTATGCTGCCAGGGGCATTAGAAATCAGAAACGATTAAACCTGTAGTACAGGTGTCAGTGATGTGTTGTAAAGAGACTAACTTTTGTGCTGATCTTGTGAAATTAGCTTCATTGTCTATTTACAAAGCACACACCCTTTATTAAATTACAAATATTTATTGAACACTTACTGCAGCCAAGTTCAAGGAAATGGAGATTCATAAAGTGCAGTTCTGTAAAGAACAAAGAGGGAAGGAGCAATCCCGGCAGAGGGGAAAGCATACGCACTGGCATGGAAGTATGACAACGCATGACGCAGTCAAAGGAACAGCCCTGCAATTACAACATTTCTAAAAGCCTTTGACACTAAGTTTGGAAGAGTTAGAGCAAACTTTTAACCAAAACTCCAAAGTCAGCTCGAGCATATCTCCCTTGGGAAGTCATCATGGCTCCCGTATACACCTCTGAGCATCCAGCCGCTCTGTATTTGAATATTTCACAGCACAAATCCCTCTGCGTTGTAATTGTTGGGCTCTTTTTTCCTCTAGACTATGAGTTCCTTGAGACTTGGACTGCAGTCCCAGGTGGGCTGTGAGGACAAAATGCAGCCAGTTGCTAACTGAATGGGAACTGAAGTAGCACCCAGTACAGATGATTCTTAAAAAGGGTTGCTTAGACTAGACAGGATTACATTACAACGTGGTACGTGCTATGACGGAAGGACATACAGAATGTCAAGGAACAACAGATCAGATGGACACTTCACTCAGCATGGCAGAAAGTTAGATGTCCTGTCCCAAGCTTATGGCAGTCATGAAACAGAAGTCAAGGTCTGAAAAGCAGAGGGCCTTGCAAAACTCCCAAACTGTTGGGCCAACATCCGGACGAACAATAATCAAGTATGACATTGGCCAAAGTAGAAGCCAGCTTTTTAGTACATGAATACACAATATGCAAAAATGAAAAATCATTTTAAAAAATACACAAAGGAATCTGAATGGTGAGGTTTATATATATTTCCACAAAGATGAATCAGCTATCAGTGCCCAGTATATAGCCATTCAACATTCTTTAAAACCCCACGTAACCCATTTAATCTCTCTTCATCCTTGGGGCTCAAGTATCACTTTGCTGGGAAAGGATTCTCTGGCCCTCCTAGCTAGTTCCCACCTCTTCCCTCAGTCCCATCCTGCTGACTGGCTCTTGTATTACCAAAGGCCTACCTTCATAGCACTTATCATGTTTGGAATTGTACATGTATTCACATGATTACCTGATTAATATCTGTCTCACTTCACAGACCATAAGCGACACGAGGGGCAGGGACATGGTTAACTTCACTACCGTATTCCTATCTAACAGAGGTGCTGACACAGCCAAGTTCTTAAGCTGTATCTGCCCAATGAATAACAGTGGTCACCAGTCCATGCAAATCAGCACATGCATACCAAAGAATTCCAAACATCCTCTGGTAAGATCTCAAGGAAGAAGGGGGGAAAATGTTGAACAGGCCAATTCACTTAAACAGAGCTGCTACTAACAGGGACTTACGAAAACTGAAAACTAACTACAATCACAAAATTAAATAATGAGAAGTTAATCACAGTATCTTGATACCTTAATTTATAAAAACTGGCCTTTTGTGTTGAGAAATAAAAGGCTACCTCCCATACACAAAAGGCAAGAGTAAAAAAGAATAATAAAATATACATTTAGAATGAAGGATAAAATTTCCTGATTTGCTTATTACCAAACAGCCTTTATTTTACAAGATGATTTCTGAAACTCATGCAATGGAAGTGCTTTTTATATAAAACAACCTATACTGTATCAAATTATTCTAATTTCTTTTCACAGAAAACAAGTAATACCAGGATATCTTTTAAATCGGACAGTTTCACCTCTAGGGGGTCACCAACATTTCAACAAAACAGAGTGGAATATAGTTTACTGTACTGAGCTTCTTAACATTTATTCTAATATGGGGCACACAAGTTAAACGTGGATAACCTAATCATACTTCCTGATATGTTTTAACAGAAAATAAATATTATTCTTAGATAGCTAGGAAGACCAACAAAAATCAGAAAATAAAGAGGGATCTAATGGCCTGCTTGCTAAGACTGCTGAATGACTGATAGCTTCAAGCATTCACCCTAGCAGTTAAACTCAATTAATCATTCGTTGTAACTGGAGCAGAATATAATTATGTTAGCTTGCCTGGTTCAACTTTAATTCCACTAAAAAAAAATCATTATAAAAAATCATTATGAATATAGGCCATCATCCTGAATTGTAAAATGAAAACATTAATGAATGAGTTTTTATGTGAATTTGTTTCACATTAAAAAAAACTTTTGTTGGAAAAATCCTGCTATAAACACAGGTAGAGAAAAATAGTAAAATGAATCCCCAAGTACCCATCACCCAACTTCAACAATTACCAACTCATGGTCAACCCTGTTTCAACTATAATCCCCCACACTACCCGAGTCCAACAACTGGATTATTTTTAAGCAAAGCCTGAACACCATATCAATTCATTTTTAAGTATTTCAATTTGCATCTCTAAAAGGACCCCTTTTTAAAAATGTGGCCATGATACCTTTATCGCACAAGCACCCACAACTGACAGCTGCCAAGGACACTAATTCCATCTTTGAAGAAATAATCATCATTGGGCCTTAAAAATGTACAGAGCACAGGGACAGAGATAAGGACTTAAGAGAAACCTTCATCTGTGAATATGACAAAAATGAAATACCCAAAGCACAAAATGCTGAAGACATCTCATAACACAAAACTGATCAGATAAAGTAGACTTCCCTAAAACTGTACGATATAGGCTGACACTATGGGGAACACTAATTCCACAACCTGCAATAATTTACTTTATTGCTGATTTCATTTGTGAGTTGTTGCCTGAATTTAGAAAACGGGGGGAAAAAATCCTAAACAAAATTTAAGCTTTCAACTCTAAAGTAAAAATAACAAATTTACAATAATCTGAAATAACCAATAATATTTCATAAACAAAACTGAACATAATACATATTTTGATGTTTTTAAATTAAAGTACCTAAAAAGTACTGTACACTTACTCCTTTGACGAATACTACTTATTTATAGCTTGTTCAATTTAAAAAGAAAAAAGAACTTTGGGCAGATTTTTCTGTATAGGGCACCATCCTAGGCTTCTAATTCTTCTCCTAGATAAGACTGATATGTCAGTTCTCTCCTTATTTGCTATGAATTTAACAAAGCAGGAAAATGTGGCTCAAATTTTCAAAATCTATTTATCATTAAACTAGAGTTTGAAAATAAGTACTTCGCATTCAGAACTTTGCAAAATACATGTAAGACCACAGTTTCCAAAATGTGAGCTCTTCCACCAACACTGACACTTTCCAACACTTTGAATATTGATTAGAAATAATGTAAAGCTGTTGAAACTGTTTTTGAAATGTTCATTGTTTGTAGACACAGAGATATATAATCATTAATCTTTCCCATGGACTTGTATGAGAAGAGGCACTCTCTCTCTTTCTGCTTAACAGTCTCTTTCATTTAGTAAGAAAAGGTTGCCCTGTGGGAAGCTGCTTCTTAGAGTTCTTTCTCAGAGTTCAAAGACTATGGGACCTTCAAGTTGATTTAATCAAGTCTATTTATTAATGCATTTCAAGTTTCAAAAAACCTTACATCTTTTCACAATACTTTATTTTTTGCAATTTTTAGTAAAAATTTCCAAAGTGAACAAAAAGATACTGTATAAAACACAGTGGACATTAAACTGACAGTAGTATTAGATCTCATTTGTCTTGATCCTTTTGTTTTACCACATCTTAATTTGCAGTGGAAAGAGTTCAGTGCACATATCTCTTTTCAGAAAACATTTAACTTAGACTCAGAATAAAATAGGGGCAGGGTGTACCTGCCAAAACCCTACCACAGGATAACATTACAAGCAAAAAATGTACATGTTCCAAAGTCTACCACACTCAAGAAGTTACTAAGAACTCTTGCAGAATAAAAGTCATTTTAGAAATGCAAACCCACTTCCAACCTTTGCACAGTTCAAAAACAAAGGCATTTAAATGATTTAAAAGCAATTACATACATATCTACCTACTTGTTTGTTTAGAATTATTTATAGTCTATCTGGGGTTTCATGTACAAAATTTGTCTCTAAATCATGTACAAAAAGCTGTATTTTGAAAAAAGTCACCACATACTGTACAAGTTTACAAGGAAGAGATCCCATTATTTTCTCTAGCATTTTTGGCCTTGCTGGCTTGCGTCACATTATGAGAATGATTGTGTAAACCTTATACTCTTAAGAAAAAAGGAAAAAAAAAGCCAAAACACAAATCTTTTCAACTTGTTCTAAATTGGCCTCCTATATGAAGCCAGGAAAATCATAGCTGTTTACTTCTAATTTAAGTGATGTAGTTGGAAAACATAAGCAATAAATACGTCACAAGATTAAAATATTTTTGTAATGCCCCCTTCCATTCCTGCATAGCAATAAGCCTGTTAATACATTAAACGTTTCTGCTTTCTTTCTTTAAAAAGCCAATTATTTACAACTGTTTAAAAAATAAATTTGGAATGGGACATTGTGCTGTTTCATCTTCACTGCTGTTAAAATATTTTATGGAAAAAAACATCAGGTCTATCTACAGTTCTAACTATGAGTTGAGCAAATCACTCTTCTTTAGTGGTTACCAATGATCAGTGATGATATGCTAAAAAAAAACATTCAAATATTTTGATAAAGACACAACTTTTCTTTTCCATATCAGACAAAACCAAAAACGTAAGTAGCATACTTGAGATATATGGAAAACATAAAAAAGAGGCTACAAATAAAAAGAATCATTCCACTGACATAATTTCTACCAAAGCATGAATAAAACATCACCTATCAATTCAACAATGGAACTGAATTAGTTTAAAATAAGTAAGCAGAAATCAGACATTTACATATAGAATTCTGAAGTAGTATGCTGCATGTGTTCAGTCTGCACAACTCTTGAAATGTGTGTTCTTCAGCGTAGTCACTCATGTGCTCTTAGCAGCCATTTGACAAAGACAAAACGATTATCAGAACCAATTCCATCATAAGAAAAAGGTAAACTGATTCTCATTTCAAAACTGCCTGTGTGAAGCATTACAGAATCCTGGACCACTAAATACCACCATTCTCTGTTATCCTGAGTATGTCAATTAAACAGTAATTTTTCATTAAGAGCGGAAAAATTTTATAATACAAAGAAACATCCATATTGCAATTTCTGTTTACAATTGCACACAAAGTACAGTGTACGTAAGAAATACATGTCTGCATATAACAAGGTATGTACATTGGCAAGTGATATCTCCAATGTTGAGGTGGTCGAGCCTCCTAGCCTTGATTGGCAGTTGAAAAAAATATATTTATATATATTTCAATTTGTGATAAAAGTTTATTGAGAGCCAAGTTTGCCTGCAAGTGAAGAAAATGCAGCAACGAAGAACAGGGAACATAGGGCACATAATAATATTCTAAGACTTTGTGCCATTAAGTTAAAAATATCTGTCCATAAGAAAATTGGGTTCCTTTTCCACCCCCCACCCCCAAATTGGAATTTTCAGGCTTTAAAATTTAAGTAATTCCACCTGGTCTGAGGACACGATCTCTTGCCATTTTTTTCTTCGACTGTTATTTGTGAGGGTTGAGTTTGGGGATGATGATTTAATAGGTGTCTCTTTGGAGTGAAGTTTTCCCATTGTAGGCACTAGGAAGAACCAAGGCAAAAAGCTGCAGTTAACGTCTCATGTGTCCCATCTGATAACTCTCCCGGGGCCTCTGACGCTGGGGCTGCTGGATGGGCTGTGGAGGCCTCCTCCTCTTTAAAGTGCCTGTGAGTCACAAACAAAAGTGAAACAAATTTGCTGTGAGCTCTTTAATCTTTAAAAACAAAGCTGCCATTCTGATGAGAAAGGTTCTAGACCAGTATTATCCAACAGAAATATAATAAGCACTATGTATATAATTTTTAATTTTCTGGTAGCCCTAATGAAAAAGGAACAAAAAAGCAGTTAAAATAATTTTGATATTTTTCATTTCACTTAAGCCAATATAGCCAAAATACACTTCAAGATAAAATCAATATAAAAAATTATTAATGAAAAATTTCATTCTAAGTCTTTCAAGTCTGGTATATATTTTATACTTACATCTCAAGTGAGTCTAGCCACACTTCAAGTGCTTGAGAACCAAAACTATTAGATTAATATGGATTCTGAGGACAGGATGTATGGTGAAGAAATTACTATCTTTGAGCAAATGACTTGACTTCTCTGAAACTCAGATGCTTACTCTGTACAACATAAATAACTCACATAGTCTATTGGGAGGATTATACAGTAACTCATGTAAAAGTGCTTAACTCTTTTTGTGAGGAGTCAATAAATGACAGCTAGTTTAAGTCTTTAAAGGTGGGATTTGCTTAAAGTGAAATCAAGTATAAGAACTGTTTCACTGAATAAGACCTTAATTGATAAAGTATCTAAAAAGTGTCATGTGGCCCTTGGAAGTCCCTAAGAAATTGACATAAATTCCAGAGTGCTAACATTATACAGTTACGAAAAGCAATTTTATCAAAATCAAATCTCCTCTGAGTCCCCCAAGATACTGTCCCAGTATGACTGCTGAGCTCTCTTTCCCCAAGAAAGATAAAATGCAAGGCAACAACTGACAGAAAACAGAGAAAATGTTAAGAAACCCTTAATTTTAACTACTTTGTATAGGGTGGCAGACTTGGCCTGAGGCAAGGGACTTAGTGGAGAGGGAACTGCCATCATTTAGCTCCAGTTCTCCTCTGCCACTGCCTTGCGACAATCCCTGCCCCACACCTACAGTGAACAGAATTATGGTCCAGCTGTTCTGAGGGCAGCATGGAAGCCACAAATACCTTGGGGAAGGCGAGGGAGAGAGAGATGGGAACTAAATAATCTGTAGCAGTTGCTTCCTACCCTTTTCTCCTCCAGATCTACGGTACTAAACCTAAAGAGGCTCTCATCCCACAGCAGTGTCTCCATTAGAGTTCAAGAGTAGAGAGTAAACCTTAGGAGTTGTTTTCAGAGGTGGAGAATAACTGTGGTTATTTGGTGACTGAAGCCTCTACCCAAGACTCTCCCACAGTCTGGGATCTGTATTTCCCCATATGCAATACCCCTAAGGAAAATGAGCTTATGTGCCAGAAAGTATTTCAAGACTACAGCATTAAAAAACAGTAACACAAGCATAGCTATTAGAATAGAAAGATCAGTCATTTAAAAGCAGCCTATCACAATAAAACCAAAAAAGGAAAAATTTAGAATATGAAAAAAAAAGTACCAAGCAAAAATAAAACTTTCTAGGTCTAAATATTTCTCAGAAAAGATTAGCATTAAATTGGCAGCCATTACCTAGATTGGACTGATTACAAACACACTTGAAAATCAACTAAATAATTCATCCAGTAATCTCACTCAAGGAGAAAGTACAATAAAATTAGTTACTAAAGACTCATTTATAATTCAATTCTACCTGCTGAATGGTTCTGAGTTAAAAAATATATATATACGTTGCTCAAATTGTCTTACCTGGAAGAGGTTTAGGAGGAGGCAACTTTGGATTACTACTCGGAGTATGAACACTGCATATCTTAATGAATCCGGCCATTAACATAATCAGGGCAATTCCCATAAGTAATACTGCCCACCAATAAGCCTAGAAATAAACAGATATTTTTCTATTGAAAAACCATAAAGTATTTTAGATTATTTTAGATTATATAAAATATAGAATAGAATACTGCACATTTTAATTGTTAAAGAACATTTATTGACTGGGAGTTGTATAGATATTATATATATGCACATATATATTAACATCTTTAAATATAAAAAAAGAACAAAGGAGAAAACAAAAACCAACCAAAATTTCACTGCCTAGAGGAAATCACTCAATCTTATTCTCCTTTCTATCTCTTTTCCCTATGTAACTATGTTTCTCATACACACAAAACTGGGATCATCCTGCATATAGTTTATATTGTGTTTTCCCTTGTTATTAAATATTTTCTGGATGGAATATATACATATCAAACACATATATATGAACATCAAACATATATATATATATATATGGCCTATTACTCTTATAGACTATGTTTTGTTGGTTTTATACTCTCCAGTGACTTAGAAGGTTTATTACTTGCTTTAAATCTGACTAGTGGATAGTTTTTAAAAATACTCTTAACCTGTGTTTTTTTCTAATCATCAAAGTCAAGACTGAAATTCTTTTTTGAGGCGCCCTCCTTCCCGTTACTCCATTTCATATGGAATTTGAGACCCAGAATACTGTTATGAAATGATTTATATGCTATTTCTTAGTTGTCATTATATTTACACATATATAAACCTATTACATATACTCATGTTTAAAGATTAATTGTTTTTAATATGAAAAGTACAAGTATATTCTAGAAGCAGGCAAACTTTATCCAGTCCAAGAAGGAACTACAAATTTCACATACAGGTATTTTTGTAGACAGCCACAACAGCAGGCATCACAATCGTCAACACCAGGAACTCAGCACTGTTACATTACTACCATTTAACCCTCAGAGTACCAAAAATATGGAATTGACTATGTCAACTCCTCTTTGTAAAACCCGTGTTCAAAAGCTCTCCACCAAAGGTCTCCAAGATGGACCATTAGATGGGAGAGAGAAAAAAACAAAACTGAGCACACAATGAAGTGTAGTAAAGTATACATGTACGACTCCACTTATTTTTAAAAACATAGTCTTGTAATGGTATAGACAGTTTCTGAAGAACACAAAAGAAACTAAGACTGGGCTCCAATGTAAAAAGAAGGCTCATTTTTCAATTACTTTGCCAATTAAGAAAAAGAATAATCACACTTTCCAAAAGGAAAAAGTAGAAAAAATTTTTCATTTAAAAAAATTCATACTTCTGTGACTTTTTCAGGTGCTCCCTCTTCATAAAACATCCATCTGTACGGTCTATTTGTACTAGTCCTTCAAAACTTAGTTTTGGCTTCACCTTCTTAAAGAGGCCTTCCCCAAACAGGTTCTCCTGTGGTCTGTGAAAATACTGTGCAGAACTGAAAATCTGTTTCTTGTCTTCTGTATCACAAACTGGACCAAGAGCTCCTTGATCTCATATCCTAAAAACTCAGTATATAACCCCCAAAAACGTACTTACTGGATGAGTTATTACAGGTGAGTCATTATTCCAAATACTAACTTTTTGAAACACTTCTGAAAGTTAATTTATTATTTTTAGAAAGCCCAGGCATATAAATAATGTGACATGGCTCTTAAAACAGGACATAAAACACTGGTTTTGACACCTGTAATACTAGTTTTTCAGCACCTATACAGTCTTAAATAGAGAGCAGTATGGCAGTAAGAGACTGGAGAGAAAAATTCTGGATTTAATAATGGTTACCAGTTTGTAGAAGACAGAGGGCAAGAGGACCTAATCCCAATTCAGGTCACTATCTACTGAAAATCTTTGAAAATCTCCAGTTCTTTCTGGCAGTGTACCTGGCTTTCCTCCAGATTTTTCAAGGCTACTACATATCTCAAAAGCCCAAACCTTAGTATGTTTTAGTGACAATGATAGCACCTTTTCAAAGTTTCATGTCTGGGGAAACAGAACATCACAGTGGTAAGAAGAAAGCAATTAGAAACAAAATAATGGTGTCTTTAAGTAGTACCTTTGGTAAAGGGGATTTTTTTAATGCTTCCTTTAAAAGAGAACTGTCAGAGTGAGTTAAACACTAAATTGCATGTTTTCTTTTTCATATATACTAAAATCAAGGCAAAGAATACCAATCAGGCTAATAAACATAAAATGTGTTTCATCTCAGAAGAAAAGATCATAATTTGTGCACTTTAGTTAGAGTCTGAAGGAAAGGAGAGAGCTGCCATTTATACAAACATTTAATGAGTGTAAATTATACACCATGCTCTTGTCTTTCATAGATACCAGGGTGTTAAGTGAAATTTAAGAGACAAAGAGAAGATACCCAAAAGTTTAAAAATCGGTCTTGAAGTTTAACAAGCTCTAAATTAAGTCAGAGAAAATAATTCTATACAAAAAACACACAGATTTTGTTCAACACATTCATTTACCTGGCCAGAAGAACACAAAGGAAAACAAGAAGTAAAAGTGACAAAATAGTAAGTCAAAATCTACATGTACTAATTACAATTTTTTTATTTAATAATCTAAATGAACAAAAATGGCAGGTGTCACCCAAAACAACTCTTGAGGGATAAGGAATGAGACATGAATTCAAGTATCTTTAAGACAAAAGATAGTCTGTACCGTTTTTAAAGATCTCCCAAAAAAGTCAACCATCTGTAACCCTTACAGTGAATGTTCCAATGTTAACAATGCTCACTCTCCACAAATGCACTCTAGACTTACTGCGGGTCTCATTTAAGAAACCTGCGTCATCCATCTACCAAATGTATACAGAAGCCTTACAGTATGCTAAGTCCTATGGCAATACTGTGTCTCTGTCTCTCCTCTAACGCCGCCATCTTTAATCCTCTATCATCGGCAATACTGTGTCTTTGTTTTTCAAGCTGCATAAATGATATCTATGTGGTTATTCTATTAGGCAATGAATGGCTGTAGAGGCACACGACCACCTTCCATTTTCAACACACCAGGATGATAAAGTATAACATTTCTGTTACAAGTATTTTAAAAGAGAATCATTACATTGCAAAGAGTTAAAAAAAAAATGGTTCCCAAATTTCAGCATGCATCATCACCTACTAACTCTAGGTGGGGCCTGGTAATCTGCATTCTGTCAAGTTCCCAGGTGATACTGATTGCTGTTGGTCAGGGGACTGCACTTTAAGATCCATTACTCTAGGTCAGGGGTTGGCAAATATTTCCCATAAAAGGCAAGATAAGTAATTTAGGCTTTGTGGCATCGTACAGTCTCCACTGCAATTACAGCCATAGACAATACATAACAAAGTGGTTGTGTGGCCATGTTCCAATAAATCATTATGTATGGACACTGAAATTTGAATTTTATATAATTTTCAAAGAAATATTATTTTGATAGTATTTTTTTATTTCTTTCAGCTACTTAAAAATATGAAACCATTCCTAGTTTCTTAGCCATACAAAAACAGGTGATGGGCTGGATTTGGCTCATGAGCCATAGTTTGCCAACCAGTTTTATACAAATGGTTGGTTTTTCAACCCTGGCTCCTCATCAGCAATAGCTGGGGAGCTTTTAAAAGACCCAGGGACTCAGGACCCATCCCAGGAGATTCTGAGTTAATTACCTTAAGCCAGAAGGTGATTCTTACATACAAACAGGGTGAAGAACTGCTCTTCACAAATGTTCCCTGAAGTGACTTCTAAGGATAATTAGGGTTTAACAAGTCTTACATGAATAACGGTTTCTGGGGTGTCAGGTAAGTTTGGAAATGAAGTTGAGTTTTATTGCAGGACTTCTCACAATATTCTCACAAATCTCTAAGGGAACCTCAGTACGCAAAGTTTTCCAGATTCATTTGACCACCAAACCCATGGAGCTAGTGTTCTGTGAAAGCACTTGGGAAATACTGCTCTAAATCTTTCATAAAGAATACCAGATACTTAATTCTTAGGTTCATAAAATTAGAGCAAATTATGAGAACAGAAATTCATTTAGAGTAAGAAATATGGTTGATTTTTGTCCAAATAATAAGGAAAACTAGATAAATCTGAACAAATTAAAAAGAAAAAAGTCACAAAAGCAATTATTTTAAAAGGGGAAATACAATGATCAATTTGAAAAAAATCAAGGTCTAAAATGATTTTCTACAACATCAAACCTAACATAAAAGATGTATAAAATCTGAACATCAGTAATTATAGAAGAAACTGAAAAAGAATTACCAATGCCCTCCACCCCATTTAAATAAAAGAAAATGATATAAGGTCTCAAAAGAATTACTGGTGATGACTAGATGACTCTTTGATAAACCCAAGAGATGTTTATCATTATTTCCTTGCCAGATACCCAGTAGGCATTCAGAAAATATAATGAATGTACTTTTTTTAATGTTCAAATAACTGCTGTCAAAAACAACTTTTCCCCAGGAAAGAAAGTAAAAGTCTTTATCACATCATTTCCAGCAGCAATCAGTAATTCATGTCCTAGTCTCAACTATTAAGTTCATTCTTTTCCATATATATTGTTCTACCCCACATGAGGAAAAAAGATGCCATAGTATGCTACAGAAAGGAGACAAAAAGCAACCAGTCCCACTGAAAAGGAAAAGCAGTGAAGCTAACCCCTCATCCCTTTCACAGCTCTGACACCAAAGCATCCTAGTAAACTATATTACTAAATAGAAGGGCACTTCCCTGATATGACGAAACACCAAAGCATGAGCTATTAATTTAACAAGCTATCTGCTTTGCAAGTGAGCTGTGCATGTGACTCAAATAAAAGAAGTAAGTTATAATGAACTGGTTGTCTGTTATCTTACAGTTTGACCCGGGGACACATATGCAGCAACAGCTCAGTGGTACACTTCAGGCATGTGGGCCATATTTCAAAAAGAGGGATGTGAGTATCAACAATATAAAACAAAAGCAATCTATACTCACTTGAGGAAAACATAAATCTAAAAGCGCCTGATTAACAGTTCCAGAGTACAAGGAAAAGATGTCATATTGCTAACTCACTGTAAGAAGCATTTCACTCAATCCTGAAATCTAAAATATCTAAACTCTAAAATTTAAAAAAAAATTAAATCATCCTATTAAATATTTTAAAATAGGAATAAAAGCTTTGAAATTCTAAATGAGTCAATATTAGAGATAATGGAGAAAAATGAAAAAATAGTTTTAGCTGCTATGACTACTATCTAGAAAACCTAAAATATCTGGTGCAACATATACTTAGTAGAACCCAACTCTAAGATCTCTATTAGCAGATTTTTTTAAATACACTATCCTCTATAGTGCACAAGTATACAAATCTCAACTTACTATTATTAGAGATAACCAGAAAAAAGAAAAAAGTACTGGATCTAAGTTGAAAACAGGACAGTAAAGTGTCAAGAAAAGTAAGCTACTTGGAAGTTATAGAATTGACAAATGCCAGAGGCTGATCTGAAGTGAATCCTTGCATCATTTCCAAGCCTGTATTCTTTCCACTTCATCACAGTGCTGGAAGGCCATTTAGCATAACAGGTTTTTCTGATTACCTGTTATTGCACCAAGCACAGAAGTACAAAAACAAGTTAACATATCATGTTTTAAGGAGACCTATGTTAAATCCATTGCCCAATTACTTGGTTTAAAACCTAAGTCTCCTAAATCCAATTTCAACAATCCTCCCACTACATAGCCATTACAAATCTAAAAACTACATATTCTAACATGCAAAGCATTATTCTTCCTATGTATAAAAACACCATTTCAATGCTGGAGATATTCCCAATATTTTTATTGTACATTATTATTACATGAGTACCAAAAGGGGTGACAAACCCACATAGATCATTTTCTTGTTTGCTTTTAAGACATCCTCAGTCCTGAACACACACACACAATGTAAGAAATAATTTGGGAAGGAGAATCTGAGTTCTATGTCCATTTCCAAAGCAGACTCATTCAGTTCAGATATAGCACATTTTCATATACACCACTTACAGTTTCCTACTGATATTTTAACACAATCACTTAGGAACATGAATATTTAAGTGACTTAAGATAGTCATTCTCAGCAGTCTTTTAAGAAAATTTCAGGTAATTCAACATCTGTACAACTTGGAGAAATCTGGACTGAAAAATAATACATTTCAAAGAGGCTGATCTGAAGTGAATCCTTGCATCATTTCCAAGCCTGTATTCTTTCCACTTCATCACAGTGCTGGAAGGCCATTTAGCATAACAGGTTTTTCTGATTACCTGTTATTGCACCAAGCACAGAAGTACAAAAACAAGTTAACATATCATGTTTTAAGGAGACCTATGTTAAATCCATTGCCCAATTACTTGGTTTAAAACCTAAGTCTCCTAAATCCAATTTCAACAATCCTCCCACTACATAGCCATTACAAATCTAAAAACTACATATTCTAACATGCAAAGCATTATTCTTCCTATGTATAAAAACACCATTTCAATGCTGGAGATATTCCCAATATTTTTATTGTACATTATTATTACATGAGTACCAAAAGGGGTGACAAACCCACATAGATCATTTTCTTGTTTGCTTTTAAGACATCCTCAGTCCTGAACACACACACACAATGTAAGAAATAATTTGGGAAGGAGAATCTGAGTTCTATGTCCATTTCCAAAGCAGACTCATTCAGTTCAGATATAGCACATTTTCATATACACCACTTACAGTTTCCTACTGATATTTTAACACAATCACTTAGGAACATGAATATTTAAGTGACTTAAGATAGTCATTCTCAGCAGTCTTTTAAGAAAATTTCAGGTAATTCAACATCTGTACAACTTGGAGAAATCTGGACTGAAAAATAATACATTTCAATGGATTTATGTTGGGTAAAGGTGCATAATCTGCAAATGGCTCTGTATTTGATCTTACCCTGTCCAACATTTCCTATCACAGACAAGATGAAGACTCAGAAATTATACTGTAACATCAGAAAAAGCCTTCAGAAAACAACGAATCTCTCATCTCTCCGGTTCAGCAAAGTAGAATGCACAGCCGGTTATCTGTCATACTGAGACAGGGAAAAGTATAAAAAGCAAGCAGCGCTTTCCAAAACACCTGAGGAAAAACTCCTACAAAAAGGCCCTAATCATAGGTACCAACAAAGGAGAAAGTAACCAATCAGGGCATGAACCAGTGAGCAGAGTTAAAACAGAATGACTCCCATCACTACCAAGCATCTATAAACTACACACATGTGGAGATTCTGATCACTTCAGAAGACAAAAATACCTGGAGATACCTGAACTTGAAAACTCAGTTCTTCAGATAATGTAATTCCAGCCCATACAGGAAAGAAGTGATTTTTTCATAACACTGGTGACCTCTGGTCAAGTATAATTACAATCAAACCATTTAAGATAAGATTTCTTTATTAACAAAAACTATACTTACCACAATCCATTCAGCAATGTTTTCATAGAGCTCTGGACTAAAAATTGCTTTTTTAAGCCTAGCTAGAGGGCCATCAGCATCTACCAGTCTGCACCGCATGAAAACATCACAGTAGCCTCTAAAATCATTGCAAGGGGATCCAGGTTGCAGGGTGATGGTTCGACCAATGAAGTGCTTGCTCCACTGCACAGACCCTGTACTGGCACAAGTTGATGGCTCCACTGGAAAAGAAGGGCCAAATATAAGTTGAAGATCAGATTTCCTACCAGGCTAGTCAAAGACAGAGGGAAAAAAAGGGAAAACTACCTAAAATCATTACCAGGACATGTTCTAGGGACTTTTAATAGTTAGGCTGGACAATACTATTTACTGGCAATTGACTTTAATTGTTACAATATAAATAAATAACCAGCAACTCTTGCCTTACTGCTACAATGATTTTAAAACCTTCTAAGAGTATTTATATTAATTACTGCCATAAAACTGGCAGATTTTTGTCTAGTTTATCATTTTAAAAACACCGTAGGGACCATAATGCTAGAAATACAATCCTATGCTACATTTAAAGATTTCTCAAGAGAATCGGTTTAACTGGAAATTATCTGTTCAAACTGTGTATCACAGTTTAACAATTAAATTTAAGAGAAAATAAGGTTTTTTAAAATATTTTATTCTCTTGTATTTTAAAAGCCTTACTCTTCTTCATACAGCAGACATGGCATAACTCCTTATCATCTTTGCTGTCAGAACTGGCACAGGTACACTCCTCCAAGCCGTATTTCTCACAGATAGACCCTGCACATTGCTGAAAGAAAAATAAAACACCCATTATTTAACGCCTGCACAGTCAAACCTATTGTTCTCAGTAACAGATAGACATAAGCCTCTAATGCTAAAACAATTAAGTAGAAATACAAGTAGGAAAAAAATTAATATCAGATATGGATCATATAAACACAGTTGAAAAAGAATTAAGTGCAAATAAGGTCGTAAATCCTAAAGAAATGGCAGCTGAAAAAAAATCTAAACAAAACTAAAACAGAGAAAAGAGGTTAGCCCAGCAACAACTTTATGTTGGTGTGCCTCCTTTATAAGAGAAAAATGAAATTCTCCTCATGTAGAAGAAAGTAACATTTAGACAAGAAAGCTTTAAAGGCTTCTCATTTCAAGAACATGACCAGAAGAGTTCTTTCATTTAGGCTTTTAAAATATTAGTTTACAACACTTAAACATAGCACAGACAAAGTCACATACCTAGTTGTACACCTACTTTTCTCTAGAGAATATCGAATACATGCAGTGGAAAGATGAAAGGCCGTCAGTAGGTGACCAAATGCCACCAGGCACTTACACCACAGAACACACTCAGGGCTTTGTGGGGAAACTGATCGGTGTATCCTTCAAATAGGGACCAAGATTAATTACTTTAACGCTGCAGCTTTAAGTATCATTAAACAAGTATTGTGAAAAAGAATTTTATAAAACTAAATAAGAAACATAAATCAGATGCTTACCCCATTAATGCACACTTGTGTGTGCCTATTACAGTCTGTAAAGTTTGGTTTAGGATCAGACGCTGGGCAGAGAGCTGTGACGCCATTACATATTCCTTCTTTTGCACAGTCAGAATCATCCCGACACTTCTCAGTTTTTGACTTGAATGCACACTGTGCTGTACAACAGGGACCTTGACTTGGACTAAAAGAAACATTACTGTGATTTAAGAAAACACTAGGATATTTCCTATATACACAGATATAGGTCTTAACTTTAAGTAGTAAATCTCATCTTTTAAACGGTAAGTCCGTTACTGGCATACAACTTCAAATACTGGAAGAAAAGGCTCCTAAATTTCAATGTTCTAATAAGTGAAGGAAAGTGATTAAGTGCCTTGTTTTTATAATCAAGACACACTATATATTCAGCATTCTCACTCTATTTGCTTTCAGTGAAAGGCTATGATAGAAAATGGATTTAATATTAGGCAAGTTATTAGTGTTTTTCACAGTAATATCATATAGTAGTCAATTTATCAATGTCTCTCACATTTACATACTAAAATCAAACTAGAAGACACAGCTCAGCCACTTAAAAAGTATTATACAAACAATATTCTGTTGCTTATATCTATCACTACCTTAGTAATTCGACAGGTGAAATAATTATAAGACACTAAGTCACAAGACTATGGAATCCATACTACCTAAATATTTAAAGTTAAGATTTTTTTTTAATCCATCCTCATCCTTGAGAGGTACAGAGAATGACTAGGAATTAAATTTATTGCAAATGTGGGTACAATTAGGAATTCCTTAATCTTTGCAAATACAAAGAGGACACAATATAGTAAAAACAACTTGAAGGCTAGTCATGCGTTAAACAGGCATGTTAATGCTGTTGGGGAGGAAGAAATCTCCTCTATCCCTGGAGGTTCTTCTAGCTGGTCTAAGAACCAAACTGACATGAGACAGATTAACAGAAGGAAACAAAGTTTAACTACGGAGATATGAAGAAGCCATAGACATTGGTTCCCATAAAGTTATGATTCTTAAATATATGGGCAATGGTCACATTTTTAAAGTTAGGAATGAAATAATGTGCATTTTACTGAGCATCCTTTGCATATCCTTTGTTAACACTCACCACACAGATTACAATTTGCATGTCCTTTGTTAACACTCATCACACAGATTACAAGGAGTTCAATCTGCCAACAGCAGTGCACTAAGCAAGGCTACCCCAGAAAAACAAATAAAACAAAACAATAAATAAAAACAAAGTTTCAAACCCATATGCTCTCTTAATCTCAGTTTTAAATCTGTCATAACTGCCTTCAGGGGACTTTACAGGAAAATAAACATTGCTTGAATTGGCAAGGTACCTGCACTGCTTCCCAGGCTTCAGTTTGCATTTTTTCCCCTCTGGCTGGTTTGCATCATAGCAGCACTCATCCTTACATTGGTCACTATAGCCACAGTCACATTCCTCACCTTGCTCTACCATTCCATTTCCACATATAGGTTGGCCAGATTCTGATAAAAATAAAGAAGACAGTGTAAGCATCATGCACACACATAAATTTTATTTAAAATTCACAACCTCTGCAGAGCCTCATAAAAAGAGAGCAAGGAAAACTTTGATGAGTAAGAAAAGTAGAACAAACTAGGAATCTGGAAGTTAGGAGACCTAACTCAAACAGTGGCTCAGTCACTGACTAGCAATATAGCCACAGGCAAGTCAACTCCCTTTTCTTGAACCTCAATTTCTTAATCTGTATAGTGAAGGGATTTGGCCCCTCCTAGAAGTGGTAACATTCTTTTTATGCCACACCACCACTGAGTTTTATTGAACAACTGCACTATTTATAGTACACAAATACAAATTTCATTAGTGCTTCACCAGCCAGAGAAAAAATTAAATCTTTTTTTGTTACAAAATTTCAAAATATATAGAATAAATAATTAAATAAAATGAAATCTCATTTGCCAATCACTTAGCTTTAACAACTATCAACAATATGCTGTAATCAATCAAGCATAATCTTTTGTTCTCATAAACACTCCAGGATGAATCTAAGAGTTTTTTCTTCTTAAAATCTAACCATAACACCATATACCATCTAACGAAATTAACAATGTTTAATAGCATCTAACAGCCTGTCCACATTTAATTTTCCTCAGCTGTCTCTTTATATTTGGTTTACTTGAACCAAGTTCCACACAAGTTTCCTCCAACCCCTTTTCCCACGGTTGCTTTTGGTTGACATGTGTCTTGAGTTCCTTTAATAATATAACAGATTCCTTTCTGTTTTTATTTTCACACTATTTATTTGTTAAAGAAATTAGGTCATTCTGTCCTATGGAATTTCCCACATTCTGTTTGGCTGATTGTATCCTAGTTGAAAAGTAATCTTTTAAAAATGTACATTAGTTTTGCTCCTCAGCTAGTCCAAGCTCCTTAAGAGAAGAACCATGTACTATTTATAACTTCTCTATTCCCAGAGAGCCTAATAGTATTGGGTCAAATCTTGGTTCATTAAGGTTAGACTTCTTGGTGTAAACATAGTGAATAATTTTAGAACAATTTTTAGGTTCTCTTTTAAAGTTCTTTGACTTTGTCTTTGAAGTTTAAAATTAGAACAGGAATGCTACTCTTCGTAAGATCATAAAATCACAGAGCTTTAGCATCTTCAGGGAAATGATAATATAAAATGTCTTCGTTTTACAGAAAAGAAAACTAACTTCCAAAGAGTTTGTGACTTGTGCCCCAGTATGGACACAACACAGACTAACCCCAGGTCTCCTAGATTTAAAATCTGGTGTTCTTTTCTTTTGCTACATCAAATCAATGTGGGAAACAGTTGTTGTACAGGCTTCAAATCGCAAACTAAGTAAGTAGAAGAGAACACATTTCAAACACAGAGACCCAAAAAAGGCACATCTGAATTAAAAAAATATTCTAGAAAGATTAGTTTTATATTCAGAAAGCTCATTCTTATCCTTAAATATTAAAGGAAATCTCAGAGGTAACTCAAGTCCATCCCTCCCTTTCATTTTATACCACCTCTTTATTCTCTAAAACTAGAAGCATGTATATGCACATATATACTAAGTATATAAGATTTTTTCTGAAATCTAGTAATAATCATTTTCTAATTCACATGATACGTAATTTAGGAGACAAGGAAAAATGATAGAAAACCTTTGACATAATTCACTACACATTAATTTTCATTTCATATAGAAGTATTACTTCAAAGCAGCTATTTCCTAACGGCGTAAACATATATGGTGATGCTTAAATGCAAAAAATGTTAACAGGTACATACCTCATTAGAATTTAAGAAAAAATTTCCTTCCCATAACACCTATAAAGTAGTATGCTCATTTTAAAAAGTCAACTTCAATCAGAACATTTATTGTAAAAACCTAGCTTACAAATGAGGAATCTATGTAGTACTTTTCTACTAAAGCTTTAGAAAAACTACCACTGATAACAACAGTAACAAAACAATAACATCAATATAATTTTTGAGCTGTCCTTTTAAAAGAAAAGCCAAACAAGGAAAGTAAAAATTAGTAATTTGAACCTCATTGAACTTTAACTTTTGCTCTGGGAAAGACTCTGAAGAGGATGAAAAGACAAGCGACAGACTAGGAGAAAATATTTGCAGACCAATATCTGACAAATGATTAGTATCTACACTATATAAAGAACTCTCAAAACTCAGTGCAAAAAAAGAAAATTATAAATGGTCAAGAAACATGGACATTTCACCAGAGAAGATATACAGATGGCAAATAAACATATGAAAAGATAGTCAACATCATGAGTCACCAGAAAAATACAAATTATATCCACAAGATATTACTATACAGCAATCAGAATGGATAAAATAAAAATAATAAAAATACCAAAAGTTAGCAAGGATGAGAAATTAGATTACTCATACACAGCTGAAGGAATGTCAACTAGTACAGCACTTTAGAAAACATGTCAGTTTCATATAAATAAAAACAATCACTACATGATCCATGAACTGGACTTGGGGACATTTATTACAGAGCAATAAAAGCTTATGTTCACATTAAAAATACTGTATGCAAATATTTATAGCTGTTTTATTCATAATAGGCAAAAACTCAAAATAGCCTACATGTCCTTTAACAACTGAATGGTTAAACAAACTGTGGTACATACATTCCATAGAATAATACTCAGCAATAAAAACGAACAAGCTATAAAGGCAAAATTCTGGGAGAATCTTCAGGAAATTATACTGAGTGGGAAAAAGTCAATCCCAAAAGATTATATATTACATGATTCCATTTATGTAACATTTTTGAAGTGACAAACTTTTAGAAATGGAGAATAGTTTAGTGGGGCAGGTGAGGGACAGCAGGAGGGAGGTGGGTGTGGTTATAAAAGGACAACACTGAGGGTTCCTTTGGTGATGGAACTGTTCTGTATATCCTGACTGGTGATAAGATACATAAACCTACATTTAATAAAACTGAACAGAACTAAACACACATACACACAGATATGAGAACAAGAAAGAATGGGGAAATCTGAATAAGATCTGTGGATAATATCAATGTCAATATTCTGGTTGTGATATTATACTGTACACTTTCTCAAGATATTACAATTGAGGGGAACTGGGTGAAGGGTAAATGGAATCTCTATTATTTCTTACAACTGCATATGAATCTAAATTATCTCTACATAAATTTCAATGAAAATCAAATGCCATATGTTGTCAATTATACCTCAATTAAAAAAAAATCCAGCTAAAAACTCAAAAGACCACACTTACCTGGAAATCTTCCCCAAATCTTTCTCCTTTGCAGTCCTGTTTAACCCTTTTTTGAGTGCTCTCAAGGTGAGCAGGCCTCACTGCTTACCCTAAAGTAACTTAAAACCTTGTGAAATAGGACTAGGACCCAAACAAATATAATACAAGGTAGAATATTTAGAACGTATTAAATGCCACGAGAGAGGCATGACAGATGAACGGATAAACAAAATGTGGCATAGCCATACAATGCACTAGTATTCAGATATTAAAAAAGAATGGCATCCTGATAAATGCTACAGCTTGGATGAATCTTAAAAATATTATCTCCTAGCCACAGCAATCAGACAAAACAAAGAAATACAAGGCATCCAGATTGGTAAAGAAGAAGTCAAACCGTCACTATTTGTAGATGACATGATATTGTACATAAAAATCCTAAAGACTCCACTCCAAAACTACTAAAACTAACATCTGAATTCAGCAAAGTTGTCGGATACAAAATTAATACACAGAAATCTGTTGCATTCCTATATACTAACAATAAACTAGCAGAAAGAGAAATCAGGAAAAAAACTTCATTCACAATTGCATCAAAAAGAATAAAATACCTAGGAATAAACCTAACCAAGAAAGTGAAAGACCTATACCCTGGAAACTACAAGACACTCTTAAGAGAAATTAAAGACAACACTAATAAATGGAAACTCATCCCATGCTCCTGGCTAGGAAGAATTAATATTGTCAAAATGGCCATCCTGACTAAAGCAATCTATAGATTCAATGCAAACCCTATCAAAATACCAACAGCATTCTTCAATGAACTGCAAAAAATACTTTTAAAATTCATATGGAATCGCAAAAGACCCCAAATAGCCAAAGCAATCCTGAGGAGGAAGAATAAAGCAGGGGGGAACTCGCTTCCCAACTTAAAACTCTACTACAAAGACACAGTAATCAAGACAATTTGGTACTGGCATAAGAAAAGACCCACAGACCAGTGGAACAGGATAGAGAGCCCAGATATTAACCCAAACATATATCATCAATTAATATACAATAAAGGAGCCATGGACATACAATGGGGAAATGACAGCGTCTTCAACAGCTGGTGTTGGCAAAACTGGACAGCTACATGTAAGAGAATGAAACTGGATCATTGTCTAACCCCATACAAAAACTAAATTAAAAATGGATCAAAGGCCTGAATGTAAGTCATGAAACCATAAAATTCTAAGAAACATAGGCAACAATCTCTTGGACATAAACATGAACAACTTCTTCATGAACATTATCTCCCTGGGCAAGGGAAACAAAAACAAAAATGAACAAGTGGGACTATATCAAACTGAAAAGCTTCTGTACAGCAAAGGTCACCATCAGTAGAACAAAAAGGCATCCTACAGTATGGGAGAATATATTCATAAACGACAGATCCAATAAAGGGTTGACATCCAAAATACATGAAGAGCTCACTCACCTCAACAAACAAATTGCAAATAATCCAATTAAAAAATGGGCACAGGATCTGAACAGACACTTCTCCAAAGAAGAAATTCAGATGCCCAACAGACACATTAAAAGATGCTCCACATCTCTAGTCATCAGAGAAATGCAAATTAAAGCCACAATGAGATATCACTTCACACCAGTTAGGATCACCACCATCCAAAAGACAAACAACAATAAATGCTGGCCAGGGTGTGGAGAAAGGGGAACCCTCCTACACTGCTGGTGGGAATGTAAATTAGTTCAACCATTGTGGAAAGCAGTATGGAGGTTCCTCAAAAAGCTCAAAATAGACATACCATTTGACCCAGTAATTCCACTTCTAGGAATTTACCCTAAGAATGCAGTAGCCCAGTTTGAAAATAACAGATGCACCCCTATGTTTATCGCCAACTCTATTTACAATAGCCAAGAATTGGAAGCAACCTAAATGTCCATCAGTAGATGAATGGATAAAGAAGATGTGGTACATATATACAATGGAATATTATTCAGCCATAAGAAGAAAAGAAATCCTACCATTTGCAACAACATGGATGGAGCTAAAGGGTATTATGCTCAGTGAAATAAGCCAGGTAGAGAAAGACAAGTATTAAATGATTTCACTCATATGTGGAGTATAAGAATAAAGGGAAACTGAAGGAACAAAACAGCAGCAGAATCACAGAATCCAAGAATGGATTAACAGTTACCAAAGGGAAAGGGACTGAGGAGGATGGGTGGGAAGGGAGGGATATGGGGGGGTTGAGGGGAGAGAAAGGGGGTATTACGATTAGTATGTATAATTAGCATGTAGGGGGGGCCATGGGGAGGGCTGTGCAACACAGGGAAGACAAGTAGTGATTCTACACTAATGGATAGTGACTGTAATGGGGTGTGGTGGGGGGTACTTGGTGAAGGGCAGAGCATAGTAAACAATGTTCTTCAAAAATTAAATAAATAAATAAATAAATAAATAATATATATATAAGTGATGTATATATGAGTGTTCACTATATAATTCTCTCAAATTTTCTGAATGAAAATATTCAGAATAAAATGTTGGGAAAGTATACATACCAACAAAACAGTTGTTTCTTTTCTTCTCAAGAACTTGGCTTATATTTCTAATACTACAGAGTGAGAATTTATTGTTGTTAAGTTTGTCCCCGGATGTTGCTCTTGCATACATGATGTAATTGCCATTTTCCTTTTGTCCTAAATTCTTAGATTCTCCTGGAGTGCACTCTGTTCCAGAATCATGCTGTCAAACAAAATATAGACTCACATAAACAGGAAGTAAAATAAGGTTTTTGGGTCATCTGATTAAATGTAATTTTTTCATCACAAGAACAATGGAAGCTTGTGGACTCTGCTTTGGAAAAGATGTTACAATTGTTTTAGACTGAGAAGGAAAACAATTCACTCTTTTAGGGGCCACTATCATAGAAGGGAAAGGACAATCAGCAACGGTCTAGCCACAGCAATTTAGAGATTTTAAGTTGGGAGTACAATGGAGAACAAACCATCATAAGTCTATTAAAAATAAACTCATTCACTTTTAAAACTAGTAACAGGAATATAAACTACTTAAAATCGATTAAATATTCTTTAAAATACATGTTCAATTACATATGATGGATAGTTCAGAGTAGACAATGGTGGGGAAAGACATACAAAATAGAATGGCATAGGGCTAAGTACATACAGGATAGGCATTTAAGAGACTGACTTTTAACCAGTATTTAGGGAAGATAAGTAAATGCTGACTAGGAATAGAAACACAATGATCTATTTTTTAATAAAAATTAAAAGCAAAGATGTAAAACCAAAACATTGCTTTTAGAATAAAACAGTAGACATAAATGCATATGCATAGAAATAGGTTATAATATTGGTAAATATTATTGAAATACCAGATATCCAGTTGACCCTTGAACAACATGGTCTGACATTAGAATTATCCTCAGCATAAGAATTTAGGAAGAGAAAAGAAAAAACCCCCAACACTGTATAACTCTTGATAATAACACAAAATAGCTTAACACCTTTAAATTTAATAAATAGCAGCTCATGCCCAATATTTTACAAGAAGGAACAAAGTATAAAAATATGCAGAGTTAAGTGCTGTCCCTGGCCCTCAAAGGACTTGCATTCTATTTAAAAGGGACAGCAAATTTCAGAATCCCTTCCTAGTCTAACTCTCTGTCCCATATATCCATTAGAGATATCACTATTCAATTATTATTATTCTAGCCCAGCGAATATTGTAATGGACCATCATTAATAGCCATGAAAGGAGAAATGGGTTATAAACAAGCATGTCACTAATTTGCCATCGTTGTAAAACTGAATAAACAAGCACACAAATAAGCAAAACCTAAAATAGAATATAAAGGTCATCCTGACTATACCCCAACAAATGCCGTCAAAGTTCAACTAAAGAGAATGGTCTCACAAAGAAACTGCAATCTTAGTTTGACAAGAAAACAGAAAAACATTTTTATGACTATAAAAATAATACATTTCTAGAAAACTGAGAATAAAAAATGGATAAAGAAAAGTTCAATCATATTCAACTACCTACAGTAACTATTAATATTTCAGTCTATCTCCTATCTAGTTGTATATTTTGAACTAATTTGGACTATACCATGTGCACAGTTATATACATAGTTTCTGTCAGTTAAACAGTATAGTGTGAACACTGAAAAACTTGACTTTTCAATGACTGCAGAACATTCCATGATACTCTCTTATTGTGGGAGCACTTGGGCTGTTTAAAACTTTTTGCTATTTTAAATAAAACTGCAATGGATACCTTTATTTGTTTTTGAAATGTACGTAAGTCTTTGATAGAATCTGCACTTACTTCTTTTAGACGGATCCCCAAAAGAAGAACTGAGTTAAAAGGTAAGACATTTTACGGGTCTTCACAGATACTGCAAACTGACAAAGGACCATATTACTTCACGTTATTCAACAGCATGGACCAAGATTTCAGTAGGCAAATATGGGAAGGAACTGGCTTCCGGGCAGAAGAAAAGTTTTGAAAGTCTATAAATTATTTGACAGAAGCCAGGAGATAACGTTGGAAATATACTTGTATCCAAATTATGGAAAACCTTAATTGCTAAAAAAGGAAACTATATCAACATTATCAACAGGTGCTGGAACTAAGGTTGTACACAAAACTGACATGATCATAACAATAAGAACTATACTTAAGATGAAGATCAATCTGGTAAGAGTGGGCACCTATTACAATTTTCAAACTGTGATACAGAAACTTGTCTCATTTATGATTACAATTTTCCACAGCAAAAATTATAAAGTGGCTAACAACAGGCATGCAATAAATATTTGAGACAGGATAAATAAATTTAAGACAGTATAAACCACTCAGTGAGAAAGTAACATGGACACAGTAGATGTTGTATAGGAGGACAGATAAAGACAGATTTCAGATAAAGATGTCTAGGGGGACAAGCTCAGGAGTTTATGGTTCTGGCTAATCCTACTATTAATTACATAATAAATACTTACTAAGCATGTCCTGTGTGTATGTATGTGTGTAGTAGCAGTAGTAGTATGAACAACATGCATGAAGGAATGGGATATGACTGAGCATAGCAGAGTCATTAAAAGTAGTCTGGTATGAGAGGAAAAGATAACAAAATAGGTAAAGAATATGAACCAATTTACCCATTAAACAATAAGTAATATAAAATTAATGTTCTAAAAACATTTCTGGCAGCTGCATAGGGAATAGATTAGACAGGAAGTGTAAAGAGAACAGATTCATTTTCTACCCCAAGTGTTGTCCACAGACGAGCAGCAGCAGCATCTAGGAGAGCCTTAGAAATATGCAGAAACTCAGACCCACCAAAGACCCACTGAAACAGAATCTGATTTTTAATGTTCTCAGTAATTTATATGCACACACATTTGAAAGGCTACAGAACAGAAGAGCAGTTGGTAGAGTACAGGTATGCTTGGCTTTATTGCATTTCGCTTTATGGTACTTTGTGGTACTGTGTTTTTTACAAATTGAAGATCGTGGCAACCATGCATTAAGCACTAAGCAAGTCTATCAGAATCATTTTTCCAGCAGCATTTGCTCACTTTTGTCTGTATTATATTTTGGTAATCCTCACAATATTTCAAACATTTTCATTATTATTATATTTCTTATGGTGATCTGTGATCAGTGATCTTTGATGTTACTATAGCAATTGTACTGGGGTGCTACAAACTGCACCCATTTAAGAAGATGAACCTAATCCATAAATGCTTGTGTTCTGACTGTTTCATTGACCAGCCATTCCCCCATCTCTCTCCCTCTCCTTGGGCTTCTCATTCCCTGACACAATACTGAAATTAGGCCAATTAATATCCCTATGACGTCCTCTAAGTATTCAAGTGAAAGGAAGAATCACATGTCTCTTCTTTTAAATCAAAAGCTAGAAATGATTAAGCTTAGCAAGGAAGGCATGTCAGAAGCCAAGATAAGCCAAAAAAAAACTAGGCCTCTTGTTTGCAAAGTAAAATGTTTGAAGGCAATTAAAAGTGCTACTCCAGTGAACACATCAATGGTAAGAAAGTGAAAGAGCGTTTTTGATGATACGGATAAAGTTATAGTATTCTGGATAGAAGATCAAACCAGCCACAACACTCATTTAAGCCAGCACCTGTTGAAGATCCTAACTTTCTTTAATTCTACAAAGGCTGAGAGAGGTTGAGAAGGCTGCAGAAGAAGTCTGAAGCTGGAAGAGGTTTAATGAAGGAAGCTGCCTCCGTAACATAGAAGTGCCATGTGAAGCAGCAAGAGCTGATGTAGAAGCTGTAGCAAACTATCCAGAAGATCTAGCTAAGATCATTAACGAAGATGGATAAACCAAACAACAGATTTTCATTGTAGACAAAACAGCCTTATATTGGCAGACAATGCCACCTAGGACTTTCTTAACTAGAGAGGAGAAGTCAATGTCTGGCCTCAAAACTTCAAAGAACTAATGCAGCTGGTGACTTTAAGTTAAAACCAATACTCATTTAAGTTACAACCAATACTCAATAAGTTAAAACCAATACTCAATTATACATCTACTCTGCCTGTGCTCTATAAATGGAACAACAAAGCCTACAGGATAGTACATCTGTTAACATGTTTTACTAAATGTTGTAAGCCCTCTGTTGAGATGCCCTGAAAAAAAAAAAAAAAACTCCTTTAAAAACATTACTGTTCACTGACAATGTGCCTGGTCACCCAATAGCTCTGACAGAGATGGACCAGATTAATGCTGTTTTCATGCCTGATAACACAATATCTATTCTATAGCCCATGGATCAAGGTGTAATTTTGACTTTCAAGTCTTACTGTTTAAGAAATATCTTTCATAAGGATATGGCTGCCATACATGGTGATTCTTCTAATGGATCTGGGCAAAGTAAACTGAAAACCTTCCAGAAAGGATTCACCATTCCAGATGCCATTAAGAACATGTATGATTCATGGAAAGAGGTCAAAATATCAACAATAACAGGAGTTTGGAAGAAGCTGATTCCATCTTTCATGGATGACTTTGAGGAGCTCAAGAAGTGGAGGAAGTAATTGTAGATGTGATGGAAACAGCAAGAGAACTACAATTAGAAGTAGAGCCTGAAGATGTGATCAAACCACTACAATCTCATGATAAAACTTGGAACAGGTGAGGAGTTGCTTCTTATGGATGAGTAAAGAAAGTAGTTTCTTGAGATGGAATCTACTCCTGTGAAGACTGTTGAAATTACAACAAAGGATTTAGAATATTACATAAACTTAGTTGATAAAGCAGCAGCAGGATTTGAGATGGACTCCAATGTTGACATAAGTTTTACTGTGGGTTGAATGCTAAACACCACATGCTACAGAGAAATCATTCACAAAAGAAGAGTCAATTGATGGGAATATCACCACCCTGATCAGTCAGCAGCCATCAACACAGAAGCAAGACTCTCCACCAGCAAAAAAATTAGAGCTTGCTAAAAGCTCTGATGATGGGTAGCATTTCTTAGCAATAAAGTATTTTGAAATTATGGTATGGATATGTTTTTTAGACATAATGCTATTGCATACCCAACAGACTACAGTGAAAACATAACTTCCATATGTATGGGGAAACCGAAAAATTCATTTGACTCCCTTCATTTGATAGTCACTTCATTGCTGTGATCTGGAATCAAACCCACAATATCTCTGCCAGTACTACAATTCCCCTACTGAAGGATGAAATCAAGGGTACAGGGAGAGAAGAGGACATTTTACTGCCCTTAAAAATGCAAATCACCCATTAACAACAATCTGCTCATCTCCAAAATTTCAAGTTACTCTTTTAAGAACAAATCATAATCTATCAGTCAAGAGGTAGAGAGATTAAACACATTTTGAATACCTTATCCAAGAGTATTGATAACCATCAATTTCTGATTAGAACTTATAAGAGGGAAGACTTGCAACTTACTAAGATGGCACTATCTTTTACAAACTGAAGGAAATTAGAAGTGCATTTGAGTATTTTAAGCTACAAGTATGTAATTTTTTTCTAAACTCATTTTCTAAAACTCCATTTTTACAACTGATGAGGTACAAGTAAAATAAGCTTACACATAGTTTTCAAAAGAAATTTTCCACTTGTTTTAGTAAGCCCTACCAAAATCACAAAAGCAGAATATCTTTCAGTATTCTCTAATTCTTTGTGTATTAATCTTTAGGTCACCTGAAAATCAATATAATGGTCTGGGTATTAAATGATACCAAAAACTGTTAATTTTGTCAGAGATTGTTAATTTTGTAAGAAATGTCTATTTTTTTTAGAGATGCATATTGAAATATATAAGAGTAAATGAATTTGCTTCTAATACCTTAAAAGGAAAAGAAACAAATACAGAAATGAGATGTGGCAAATCTTAGTAATTATTCAATCTCAATCAGGGGTCAGCAAACTGTAGCCCAGACTGTTTTTATATGGCCTAAGCTAAGAATGGCTTTTACATGTTTAAATGATTGTAAAAACAAAGAAAAATAGTCAACAGAGACCAAATATTGCCCCCAAAGCCTAGAGGCCCTTTTCAGAAAAAGTTGCTGACCCCTGTTTCTGATGATGATGAGACCATGAGAGTTTGTTATACTATTTTTCTCTCTTTTGGTGTATGTTAAAAGTTTTTTCCCCATTTCCACAGTAGAAAAAAACAGACCTAGTAAACCCCAATAATGCTTTAACAGAAACCAAGCAAAAAAAAAAAAATGCACTACACAATTTATTAACACTCAAAATGCACTTAAAACAATGAGAAGCGATTTTCATTAAACAAATTAATTCAATTAATCATGTACTAGACACTGTTCTAGGTTCAGCACATAGAAACGAATGAAATAGACGACAATCCTTTGCCTTTTGGAATTTTTGGCATTGTTATGCTTTTGTTATTTTACTCAAAAATATTCCATCTTCCTTAATATTCGTATGTTACTTGTTTTCAGTATAAACAAAACCACTCAATATAAGAGTTAGAGCCATAACAATACTTACAGGAGATCCAAAGTTATGTCCAACTTCATGAGCAAAAGTAATGTGAGAGACTTTGGGGGGTACGTGAGACCCATAGTTCTGAACAGTAATAATTCCAGTGTTTAAGGACTTCTTCTTGCCATCTGAATAGAGCTTGCTTTTTTCACATATTCCACCAGAGCTTCCTAATTTGGAACAAAAGATGGTTAAATTAGTTGTCTATTTCTCTCTCCCCAGAAAAACTTTCTAATATATGCTATATTAAAACATTTTATCTTTTGAGTCTAAAATATAACTGGTACCCACATATATCATATATTCAAAAATTTCTTTGGTACAAGATTGAAAAGTCATTTCAAATTAAAATTTTAATGGCACAGATAAAAAACTCCAAGGATTGAATACAAATCCATTATAAATTATTCCTCTTCATAATCAAAATGTCCCAAATTTTTTTGCTCCCATTAATTTAATAAAACAAATATTTTAGGTTTCTGTTACATTTGAATATATCAACATTTACACTAAGTCAAAGCCTGTACTTTTTCATCCTTTAAAAAGAAAACTTAAATATTTAAGTTAAATGAAAGTTGAAAGAAATAACCTAGAGATTCTGGGAAAGTCACTTCTACAAATAATAGCAGTGATGGGTAGGAGTACATGATTCACTACCCTTGGAGGCAACATACAATATGTTTTTAAAAAAGAAGAGTCACAAAACCCCAACTTCAGTGGGACGCAGCAAAGGCAGCTCTAAGAGGAAGTACACAGCAATCCAGGCCTATTTGAAGAAGGAAGAACAATCCCAAATGAATAGTCTAAAGTCACAATTATTCAAACTGGCAAAAGACGAACAAATGAGGCCCAAACTCAGCAGAAGGAAGGACATAATAAAGATCAGAGAAGAAATAAACAAAATTGAGAAGAATAAAACAATAGAAAAAATCAATGAAAACCAAGAACTGGTTCTTCGAGAAAATAAACAAAATAGATAAACACCTAGCCAGACTTATTGAGAAAAAGAGAATCTACACACATCAAAAGAATCAGAAACGAAAAAGGAAAAATCACGATGGACCCCAGAGAAATACAAAGACTCATTAGAGAATACTATTAGAATCTATATGCTAACAAGCTGGAAAACCTAGAAGAAATGGACAACTTCCTAGAAAAATACAACCTTCCAAGACTGACCAAGGAAGAAACAGAAAATCTAAACACTCGAATTACCAGCAACGAAATTGAAGCAGTAATCAAAAAACTACCCAAGAACAAAACCCCCGGGCAGATGGATTTACTTCAGAATTTTATCAGACATACAGAGAAGACATAATACCCATTCTCCTTAAAGTTTTCCAAAAAATAGAAGAGGAGGGAATACTCCCAAACTCATTCTATAAAGCCAGCATCACCCTAATACCAAAACCAGGCAAAGACCCCACCAAAAGAGAAAATTACAGACCAATATCCGTGATGAATGTAGATGCAAAAATACTCAACAAAATATTAGCAAACCAAATTCAAAAATACATCAAGAGGATCATATACCATGACCAAGTGGGATTCATCTCAGGGATGCAAGGATGGTACAACATTCGAAAATCCACCAACATCATCCACCACATCAACAAAAATGACAAAAACCACATGATCATCACCACAGAGGCTGAAAAAGCATTTGACAAAATTCAACATCCATTCAGGATAAAAACTCTCAACAAAATGGGTATAGAGGGCAAGTACCTCAACATAATAAAGGCCATATATAATAAACCCACCACCAACATCATACTTAACAGCGAGAAGCTGAAAGCTTTTTCTCTAAGATTGGGAACAAGAAAAGGATGCCCACTCTCCCCACTGTTATTCAACATAGTACTGGAGGTCTTAGTCATGGTAATCAGACAAAACAAAAAAAGACAAGGCATCCAGATTGGTAAAGAAGAAGTCAAACTGTCACTATTTGCAGATGACATGATATTGTACATAAAAAACCCTAAAGACTTCACTTCAAAACTACTAAAACTAATATCTGAATTCAGCAAAATTGCAGGATACAAAATTAATACACAGAAATCTGTTGCATTCTTATACACTAAAGATGAACTAGCAGAAAGAGAAATCAAGAAAACAATTCCATTCACAATTGCATCAAAAAGAATAAAATACCTAGGAATAAACTTAACCAAGGCAGTGAAAGACCTATACCCTGGAAACTACAAGACACTCTTAAGAGAAATTAAAGAGGACACTAATAAATGGAAACTCATCCCATGATCTTGGCTAGGAAGAATTAATATGGTCATAATGGCCATCCTGCCCAAAGCAATCTACAGATTCAATGCAATCCCTATCAAATTACCAACAGTATTCTTCAGCGAACTGGAACAAATGGTTTTAAAATTCATATGGAACCACGAAAGACCCCAAATAGCCAAAGCAATCCTGAGAAGGAAGAATAAAGCAGAGGTGATCTCACTTCCCAACTTCAAACTCTACTACAAAGCCACAGTAATCAAGACAATTTGGTACTGGCACAAGAACAGACCCACAGACCAGTGCAACAGAACAGAGACTCCAGATATTAACCCAAACATATATTATCAATTAACATACAATAAAGGAGCCATGGATATACAATGGGGAAATGACATCTTCTTCAACAGCTGGTGTTGGCAAAACTGGACAGCTACATGGAAGAGACTGAAACTGGATCATTGTCTAACCCCATACACAAAAGTAAACTCGAAATGGATCAAAGACCTGAATGTAAGTCATGAAACCATAAAACTCTTAGAAAAAAACATAGACAAAAATCTCTTGGACATAAACATGAGCAACTTCTTTATGAACATATCTCCCTGGGCAAGAGAAACAAAAGCAAAAATGAACAAGTGGAACTATATCAGGTTGAAAAGCTTCTGTATAGCAAAGGACACCATCAATTGAGCAAAAAGGCATCCTACAGTATGGGAGAATATATTCATAAATGAGAGATCTGATAAAGGGTTGACATCCAATATATATAAAGAGCTTATGCACCTCAACAAACAAAAAGCAAATAATCCAATTAAAAAATGGGCACAGGATCTGAACAGACACTTCTCCAAAGAAGAAATTCAGATAGCTAACAGGCACATGAAAAGATGCTCCACATTGCTAATCATCAGAGAAATGCAAATTAAAACCACAATGAGGTATCACCTCACACCAGTTAGGATCGCCACCATCCAAAAGACTAACAACAACAAATGCTGGCGAGGTTGTGGAGAAAGGGGAACCCTCCTACACTGCTGGTGGGAATGTAAATTAGTACAACTACTGTGGAAAGCAGTATGGAGGCTCCTCAAAAAAATCAAAATAGAAATACCATTTGACCCAGAAATTCCATTCCTAGGAATTTACCCTAAGAATGCAGCAGCCAAGTTTGAAAAAGACATATGCACCCCTATGTTTATCGCAGCTCTATTTACAATAGCCAAGAAATGGAAGCAACCTAAGTGTCCATCAGTATATGAATGGATAACGAAGATGTGGTACATATAAATGGAATATTACTCAGCCATAAGAAGAAAAGAAATCCTACCATTTGCAACAACATGGATGGAGCTAGAGGGTATTATGCTCAGTGAAATAAGCCAGGTGGAGAAAGACAAGTACCAAATGATTTCACTAATCTGTGGAGTATAAGAACAGCCAAAACTGAAGGAACAAAACAGCAGCAGACTCACAGAACCCAAGAATGGACTAACAGTTACCAAAGGGAAAGGGACTGGGGAGGATGGGTGGGAAGGGAGGGATAATGGGGGAAAAAAAAGGGGGCATTACTATTAGCAGACATAATGTAAGGGGGGGTGCACGTGGAGGGTTGTACAACACAGAGAAGACAAGTAGTGATTCTACACATCTTACTACGCTGATGGACAGTGACTGTAATGGGGTATGTGGGGGGGACTTGGTGATGGGGGGAGTCTACTAAACATAATGTTCCTTATGTAATTGTAGATTAATGATACCAAAATAATAATGAAAAAAAAAGATGAGTTAGTGGTTGCCAGGGGTTGGGGGAAATGTGGAAAACAGGGAGACGTTAGTAAAAGGGTACAAATTTGCATAAGATGCGTAAGGTCTGAGGACCTAATGAGTAACATGACTGCTACAGTTGATAACACTGTATTGTGTAAGTGAAATTTGCTGAAAGTAGAACTTAAACATGCTCAGAAAAAAAAAAATTAAATATGTGAGGTTATGGAAATGTTAATTCGATGAGGGGAATACTTTCACATGCATAAAAATATCAAATCATCATGCTGTACAGTTTAATATGTTAAACAAATTAGTATGTCAATTCTACCTCAATGAAGTTGGAAAAAAAGAAAATGACTATGCCTAGTGGGTAAAAAAAAAGGAGGGAAGAAAGGAGAAATGTGAGAAGGGACAGAGAACAAGTGTAGCAAAATGTTGACTGATTAACCTATCAGAAGTTCATAACTTTTTGACAGGTTTGAAATTTTTTTTTAAAGTAAGTTCAGAAACTTTAAAAATTGACTTTTCAATGTGTCTTTAGAATACTTTCAAATTTACACATATATATTAAGTCATTTTGTAGTTCCCCTGTTCATTAACAGGAACTTTACAGCTTATTACCAAAATTAAAGTCCTTTCAAATCTAAATGCATTTAATGTTAAGAAATTAGTAAAAGAACAATGGGAAAATCAGAAACTGGTTGGCCAATCCACACTTGTGTACACTGTACAGAGAAGACCATAGTCCTTTTTATAACTCCATTAAAGACTTTAAGTGAAAAGTGTTTAGTTTACATTCACACTTAAAAGGTTTCCCTATTTTTGACTGAAGTATTATAATCAAATGAATTAGAAACAAGTTACTAAATCATTTTTAAAATATTTTATAATTCCTGATGAAGCATGTAATAGAAGCCAATTCAAAATAGATGTGCAAGAATGGCATGACACTACAATTGCTGCCTTGTTCCTGTTAGTATTAGAAAGTAGACGGCAACAGAACATAAATTTGAGTTACTGTTGTGATATGCTTTAGGAAGCTGAGATGATAATATGCTTCACAGAAAATTAAACTGAAAGACAGCCATATGCAGATTTTAACTAGCAAAGGATTGAGAACCTTTATGATATTCAAAACTTACTACCTCTCTACACAGAA